TTGTAACTATATCATGTTTCAATGGTGGCTTATGGGAGAGGATACTTCCCCAAGCTCGGGTCTGATGGGGACAAGAGGCAGGTCACGTGGATGGGGTAGCAATAGAAATGTGGCCGCAGACATGCCAGAGAAGAGGCTGCGCCAGGAGGTGGTCGGACCAAGTCTGACATGACAGACCTAACAGCCACTAATATCACTAATGGCCACAGTTTTCTTTATTCTTCTAGTGTTACCACCAGGGGGCACATTCACTCAAGCGGAGCTCTTAGCCTTGGTAATGAGAGCCAAATTCAGTCTTCATCCACCTGCATTTCTCGCTGATGGCAGGCCAGACATTCTGGCTCAGCTAGAAACCAGCACTCTCCCATGGACTGGAAAGGCGTGATTACCACAACTGGCCCCTCTGGTAGGAACCAGGTGGGAACTGGGTAGTGTGAGTCCCAGAACCAGGGAGAACAGTAAAGGCACCACTGCAGGCAGAGGCCCCAGGTCCAGATGGCAAACAGCAAGCCTGAACAAAAGCTAACTTCCTTTCTGCGTTTGGTCCGTGTGTTGGTGTCACCGTGTACCCACATGAGTCTGTAAGACCAGCTTCTGTGAAAGGGGTCAGGATTCTCCAGAAGCGTATGGAGTTTGGGAACAGGAGCTAGAGAGAGAGCCGGCCCCCACTCAGCACTGGAGGGCTGGAGGCCTGCTCTGCAGAGCTGTGACTGGGGCAGGCTGGGAGGAGGCAGAAGGGTAGCTGGAAGTTAGGGATATGGCCCAGTAGCGAAGGGGCCTGGCTGTGCCTGGTGCTAGCTGTCTGAATTTGAACTGACAGCTGAACCTCTGGGTCAGCTTCAACTCCCACAAAACGGCAAGAGCCCCTGCCCTGCCGACTGCACAGGGCTTTCTGGGGATTACTAAGCATTTTGGGTGTGAGTGGGCTCTGTGAGCCGGTAAAGCCCCAGCCAGGCAGGAGGGGTTATTGTTCTTGTCGGTAATTTCAGCATAAGAACCTTGTCTGCTGACTGCTGAGCTATATCCGGCCATTAGCTCAAAGTTGTGACTAATTGCTTTTTAATGAAAAAACAAGATTTGCTTAATGTTTCATGAGTCACGCAAACAAACATCTGTCAAGAATATCTCACTTTTAAAGACTTGGCCTGTCCAGATGTCAGAGCTGAGAGGGAAGGGCGGGGCAATCCTCTTACTGATGGCCCACCGCGGGCTTTGCAGATCCCTCAGCAGAGCAGGGGGCGAATAAGCAGAAGGCGCGTGGGCTCTGACACCAGGCAGGGTGGAGCACCCGCTGGAAAAGGCACAGGCCGGGGCTGCAGGGCCGGCAGCCAAGCC